AGCCTGACTCCAAAAATACTACCTTGAATATAAGCATGATAAATGTTTGGAAAGCTTTTTTTCCTCATCATTCAAGAAAAAAAAAATCGAAATAAATACCTAAGTTCATATATTGTTCAGGACTTTAAATGGCACAGAAAGCAATCCAATATTAACTGAGTAAAAACCTTCTTATGAAGTTGGAAGATCCTAAACATCAACATCACAAGATATCTGAGTGGACTTCGACTGTTTAATTAATAGTTAAAGCAAAGAGAAGAGACATGTGTCTTCTACTATTCTCTGCATTCCTCAAACTTGCATATATACATTGTACTTCACAAATGTGTATTTATGTGGGGCTGTGGAGTCATATGGAGTTCAAATTCCAGATGTGACACTTAGTTGTGTGACCTTGAGCAAAGAACTTAACCTCTCTGAGACTCAGTTTGTTCATAAGCATTATACTGGTGATCATGGGTGGCCAGTGATAGAAACCAGCTACCATAAAAGAAAAAAATTTTTTTAAAGATTTATTTATTGGGGCACCTGGGTGGTTCAGTCAGTTAAGATCTGACTCTTGGCTTCAGCTCAGGTCATGATCTCAGGGTCCTGGGATTGAGCCCCATGTTGGGTTCCGTGCTCAGTGTGGAGTCTGCTTGAGATGCTCTCTTTTTTTAAAAGATGTATTTATTTTAGAGAGGGAGAGAGTATGAGTGGGAGGGGCAGAGGGAGAGAGAGAGGATCCCAAGCAGACTCCCCGCTGAGCACAAAGCCCAATGTGGGGCTCAATCTCACGATCCTGAGATCATGATCTGAGCCGAAATCAGGAATTGGACGCCTAACCGACTGAGCCACCCTGGTGCCCCCAAAATGACCTTTCTCTAAAATTAAGTGCAGTTCAAGTCACCACTCACCAAGGTTGATGACAAGTCCAATATAATATTGTTTTGATGCCCCATTGCCCATGCCCTTCCCCTTTGGGATTATAGGTCCCCCAGCCCCCATCCTGGGGTTTAGGCAGCCCAATAACATGGACTTTGACCACTGTGCTGCCCATGGTCCTTGTCCAGCTGGCCCTGATGGCTGCCCCTTTTCCACTCTTGAACTCTGGGGCATAGGTCCTGAGCAGAGGCCACTGAATGCTCATCCTCCCAATCACACAGCCCTTACCATTCCAGTTATGTCATCTCCAAGAATCCCTGCAATCAGGAGGTCCATAAGACCCCATCTTTGAACCAATCCTGCAACCACCCTCTCCAGTCTACAGAGATCTATGCACTGCTGACATCAGCCCCCTTTTCCCTCCAGTTCTTCTTTTTAATAACAACTTTGTTGAGATATAATTCATATATTGTGTAAAGTATAGATCTCACTTATTTTTGGCATAGTCACAAAGTCATGCAACTATCCCAACAATCAATTTTAGAACATTTCACCACCCCTGAAAGAAACCCTATTTTTTTTTTAAATAAAACAAATATTTTTGAGGATTACAAGTTGGTTACAGTTTGGGCTAGGAATCCTATACTTATTAGCAGTCACTATCGTACCTCCCCATGCCCCAGCCTTAGGAAACCACTAATCTACTTTCTGTCTCTGTGGGTTCGTCCATTCTGGACTTTTAATATAAAAGGACTTATACAATATATGGTCTGTTGTGACTGACTTCTTTCACTTAGCATAATGTTTTCAAGGTTCATCCATGTTGTAGCATGTAGTTGGTTCCATTTTATTGCTGAATGATATTCCATGATATGGATATATCAAATGTTATTTCTCTTTTCATCAGCTGATGGACATTTGGCATCCTTTAGTTCTTGAAGTACCACGTCTCCCTCCCTTCAGCTCTTTTCCTCTGGTGGCCCCAGATTAGAGGTTATAGACTCCAATGTCTGTCTGCTAGGTGGCAGAGAAACAGGAACTGGTGTGAACCATGGCAAATGAGAGAACATCTACTAGGGGTAGCCCCTACTCAGCCATTGGCAAGTGGCCATTCTGACCTGGTGTTATTAGAGCTTTAGATTGTTCCAGAGAGGCCAGATCCTGGACTTTTTATGTTGAAATTTCCTACTTTTTAAGTGTTGGTCAATGAAAATAAACAAACCATATGTGAGAGAGACAATACAATTCTGGTTGAGACTAAATGCTAAAGGTAATCCCTGGTGATGCAAAGACACATCTCACCTTCAGGAGCTCATGAAGGGTTAGCTGGAATGTGAATCACTGCCTTCTCATCTTGCCACACAAAAAGGCTATTCGGCCCTTTGGAGGAAAGAAAGACCCGGGTCTAAAGTCAGCACTCTGGATCAGGAGGGAGTGGAATTTCTCTTATTCTTTGGCTCATGAGTATGCTGGAGCAGAAAAAACAAAGCACCATGAATGTTTCCTTTAAATTAGTGTTCAATTGCCCTGCAAATTACCTGTGGCCTTCTTCAGGATGGACTGTAACCTGCTAGTATGACTTTGATTATGACTCTAACTTCTGTCATGGTTGAAAACTGCTGATTCTGTACAAGATGTGCCCTGAATCCATGAGGACAGATTTATGGAAATGGGAAAGGAGAAACAGTGATGGTGTGGTCTCCTTATATACAAAGATGCCATAGGTTGGGAGTGGAAAATACTGAGGTTCATGACAACAGCAAGTGTTCATTATGTAAATAACCACTTTGCTTACCATTGTCCACTGCCCATTTTGTTTTGCGTGTCACCACAGAGGAAGTGGGTATTTTTAAAGGGAAAGAAGTTCATAGAAACCAGCGGTGTAGTGCTTGACATGAGCAAAGAGGTTTTAAATTCATTATCTAATTTGAGCCCATGCAGATGAGCATTTTTACCTAACCCTGTTTTATAAATTGAGACATGGTAGAGAAGACATGACTTGATTAAGGTCATCACACAAGGGAGCCAAAGACTTAAATCCTTATTGAATTCCAAATCCCACATCTTTTCCATCTATAGCTGCCCTTCTAATACTTTCCAGTTTTGGTTTGAGGAATAGGCTATAGGTATTTTTACACTTAATAATACAGCATTTTATTGTGTTTATATATTTTATTTTTATATTTAAAATATATTTTATGTTTTAAATACTTATAATTCATATTATTTATATTATATCAATACAGTGTTTGATTTGATATAGTTGTTACCCACTCAGAAAATAAGAAAAGGAAATGGTGATTTTCAAAATGTTTTCATATTTTCCCACTCTTTGAGTCATCAGCACTAAATTAATTAATAATCAGGTGTGCATATTAATTACCGAGGCATTATAAAGAAATATGATGATAACAACAGATATGGGAGACATTAAATCAATCTCAACCAGACACTCTCCTTTCCTTTCCCTCTCTCAGTCTTCTCTTCCTTCTTCCCTTTTGTCTTCTTTTCTTTCCTCCTTTTTATTTTCTTATTTTCTTATTCAGTGAGGGGATCATTTATAAGAAGCAAGAAAGCCTTCAGACTCCATCAAAGTTTTGCTTTTTTTGCTTAATGCATTTATACATTCAATTCGTTCAACAGTGAATATTTATTGAGTTACTGCACTGGTTTCCTATCGCTGCTATAACAAATTGACACAAACTTGGCAGCTTCAAACAAAGAAAATGTATTGCCTTAGTTCTAGAGTCAGAAGTCTAAAGGCATTCCCTCTGGGCTTTCAGAGGGGAGAATCCACTGCCTTGCCTTTTCCAGCTAATAGAGGCCACTTGCATTCCTTGGCTTCTGGCCCCTTTCTCTTTTCTCTCCAGTTTCTTGCTTCTGTTGTGACATCTAGTTCTGCCTTCGGCTTTCGAGTCTCCCTCTCGTAAGCACCCTTGAGGTTGGGCCCACCTAGATGACTCAGGATAATCTCCTAATGTTAAAATCAGCTGATTAGCAACCATTCCATCTGTAACCCTAACTCCCCATTGCCATGTAAACTAAATATTCAGAGGTTCCAGGGATGAGGACATAGACATTGTTGGGGATTAGGGATATTGTATCTACCGTGTGCCAGGCACCGTACAGACTTATATTCTGTGGGATTCTGTTTTGCTAATTAGATGTACTTATCACTCACAGCTGGAGATCTGTGTGTCTTTCCATTTTTCTATTTGAGGGACATAAATCACTCGTCTGTCCAATTGTCTGCCTCTTCAGACACACCGCAGATATATCAACTGTTAATTTGTATCAGCTAAATAAAAAAGTACCCAGCATCTGATGTCACCACTAACCTCAAGTGCAGTACCTTCCTTTGAGGCAGTAGCTGTGGGTCACTATCCAGCTCACTATGGTCTCTAATTGTTGAATGGTGCTTCCTTTTTTTTTTTTTAAATTGTAATTCTCTCTCCTACCACGGGTTAACTAATACTTAGTGTAAAAGCTAACCTTTGTTGGCCTGATCCACTTTCATAAGAATGAGAAATAGGGAAATGTGTGGAATTTAGCATCTCAATGGGGACACTTTGGCAAGTGAAAGGAAGCACTATAAATAATCATTCAGAAACAGTAGATGGCAAAGAGGGCTGTCTTGGGAACAGTGGGCCATAGGGTCTCCCTCAATATTGAGACCAAATGAGTAACAGCCATAAACACTGACTGTAAAAATATATTGAGTACTCCATTGGCTCAGAGCACTGCAGTAGAAGAAGCTTGATGTACTTCACTTCATTTAATTCTTACAACATCTTATAAGGTAGGTATTGTTGTTGTTATTATTATTATTTTATTATTATTAATCATCCCTAGTTTAGAGTTGAGGAAAGTGAAGCTCAGAAATTTAAATACCTAGCTCCAGCTAGTAAGTTGCTAAACTAGGATTTAATCCTAATTTTGTGAAACACCAAGCCAAATGCTTTTTCTATTATACTGCCTTCCAGAAAAAGTGTAGATTCTTGGAAATTGTTGTCTTCAGCTGGGTGCAGTTGGGTATTTGAAGAGATGTTAGATGTTAGAGATATACAATGACTTCGTTAGAGGTCTATGGAAAAGCAGGAGCTGTAATAGATACTTTTTCTTTGTCTTTCCTTTAGGTCTGTCAGTTTGTCGTCTCTGTAAATGGGCTCAATGTGCTGCATGTCGACTACCGGACTGTGAGCAATCTGATTCTGACGGGCCCTCGGACGATCGTCATGGAAGTCATGGAGGAGTTAGAGTGCTGAGCAGGTGGACATCCTGGCCCTTCAGTGGCCTAAGGATGATCAAAGCCAAGACAACACAAAGCAATGCAATGACAAGACTTCCATACACATGGATGCTTTTGGACGCACAAATCTTTTCTCCATACATACACATCTTGATTTGAGTTTCATAGACTGTTTGAATGTGGAAGAACCGGGTAGATCATCTTAAAAACAAATAAACAAACAAAAAAACCAAAAAAACAATTTACGTCAGTGTAGAAAAGAATTCAGAAATGGAATTTCCTTACAAAGTAGAATTGCCTTACTTGATTTCTATTTGTAGTTCTCAGCCATTGTTTTTTTTTTAATCTTAGTTCACAGAAAGTTGTTGAAATGCTTCTCTGGCCAAAACAGCAACATGCTAAAATACCCCCATAGGAGTCAATAGAGTAGTTGTTACAGATTTTAGATTGTTCTCTTACCAAAAGGAATATGGAGCTGTTTATGAAAGGATCTGGATTTCACCAAGCTTCAAATTAAAGCAACATCCAGAGGAATAATACCCATTAACTAGCATTTTGAAGAAGGTTCTAAAGCATTCAAGTGCTTAAAAGCTGTTGAAAAATGAATTTTTCTTAATTCCTGCCTTTAGTATCAACTTCTAACATATGTTTTCATTTATGGCGTTCGTTAGAAAACAAAAACCTTGTGATGATTATAGATGGGATAAATAGGGAGATACTACTTGTGATTATTTGCTCTGATTTCTCTTTCTGGGCCTAAATAATTTTTTCTTATCAATCAGCTACAGAAGCTTTCTAGATTTAATCCAGAATATGTTGAATGTCAAAACAGAGGAATTTGTGTATACACATATCACGCCTCTGGCAAGAGTTCACTTTGAAGTTGTCCCTTTGTAAGTGAAGGATTCTAGAGCTTGGCCCATATGTGATAAACTTGAAATTAAATTGCCTCGTTGGCCTGAATTTTTACTAGCTTTCTAGTGTAACATATTCTAAGGAATGACATGTCCTGCTTATTTGGCGGGATTATTTTTCACCAAAACATCGTCTTGTGTTGTCATTTTTCAACTCACTGTATATATGCATGTTTCTTTTTTAGGTCTAGAAAAGAATGCATTTGGGGGCTTGGTGTATAGAGGAAATTCCTCAAAGTGCCAAATTAGGTAGTCAGGGAATGCCAAATTCTTAATTTCATATAATGCATTCTGAACAACCAGGTTACTTTCTTATCACGTATTAACAAAATGAAATACGAATGTTGTACCTCAGCCATTCTTTTCGCGATAGGTCATCATAATGTATTGGTACTGGTAAAGTGGACATACCATGCTAAAGATGTTACCTATATATGTTTCTGGTAATCCAACTTTTCTGATCTTAGCTTTAGTTAGAGAATAGGATTTTGAAGTAATATAGAATGGCTAACATCAGTACCGTCGATCTACATTTGGGAACTAGCCGCGTTCTGTGTGTATGTGCGTTTATACTGTAGGCAGGCTTTGTGCTGCGGCACTTAATGTGTGTGATCTCTTTGAATATTCATCAAAACCCTCCAAGGGATACCTGGGTGGCTCAGTCAGTGAAGCATCTGCCTTTGGCTCAGGTTCTGATTCCAGAGTCCCGGGATCGAGTCCCATATCC